TATAAAACGTATTTTAGGAATACGTTTTTATTTAAATAAAATTAAGGAATAAAAGTATTATTGAAATACGTTTTTAAATAAAAGTATTATGATAATACGTTTTAAAAATAATTCGCGCCCGTGAATTCTGTTTTGCGAGTGGCCCGAAATTCGCGAGGTTCGCTCTATATTCAGAGGCTAAAACTTGCACGCGCGAAGTCTGTTTCGCGAGATGCGTTCATTTCGCAGACATTCATTATAAAACGTATTCTCAAAATACGTTTTACTTATATATAAAAGTAAAACGTATTCTGAGAATACGTTTTACACATAAAAAATTATGGAATGTTGGCCATCAGGGGAATCGAACCCAGGTGAGGGCGAGTCAAACCCTCATGGGCACCTTCACTACCATCATGCCGCTGGGCGATCGCGTTTATCTATTTGAAAAATATATACTTATCCGTCAATATAGAGATTTATAAAAATGTTGACTTAAGATTAATTTTTGAATTAATCTTTTGGACTAGGAATTTTAACAAATTAAGTTCATGCTTAAAATAATGAATGTCGTACTTAGAATAATATGAAAATATTATATAGTAATATAATATATAAATATGAATACATATTATATAGTAAGATAGTTTATAGTATATAGTAAGATAGTATATAGTATATAGTAAGATAATATCTAGTATATAGTAAGATAGTAGTATATAGTAAATACTATATTTTATAGGCAAAATGGCGGGAATTAACACGACCTTTACGTGTTTGACAATTTAATCATGACCTTTAGACCTTGTCAAACAATTACATGACCTTTACAATTTTGGCAACCCGATACATACTTCTAACCGCCGTCAACGAAAGTGTGATGTGGCGATTAAAATTGACGGACACTCCAAACGGTCTTCCAGTCAGCGTCCAAGTGGCAGTTTCATGAAGTATAAAAGCTGATTCTTCCCGAATTTCATCAAATTCGTCATCTGCTAAAATCCCTAACCCTAATACGCCTCAAATTCGCCCCAAATTCGCCTCGAAATGTCCTCAAATTCCAGCTCAGATTCAACGAGATCGAATCAGTATGTTTCCATGGAGACGAAGCAGTTATATTCACGTCAAATACCGACCTCAATCCTTGTCGTCGATTTTGACGTTGCCGCAACATATAGGTGAGTTTGATTTCCTTTTGCAATTTGGTTTTTTTATTCAGTTTCGTGCCGATATTACTACGATTGTGCTGGTTTGAGTGCAATTTTGCTTTGTTTAGTAATTTCATGCGTGGCAATTTGGTTCGATTTCTTTTTTCAATTTGGTGTTTTTATTAGGTTTCGTGCCGATGTGATATGAAATGTCGAGTTCAATCAGAAAAGACGAGTGGAATTTGAAACTTTAGTTTATGATATGAGTTGAAAATTGAAAATTTTTGCCTTAGTTTTATGGTGCCTCAGTTTTTGTGTTGTGTGCTTCTAATTCTAATCCTTGCTTGTTTGTATAAGAATACATGTACATACTTTTCTTGGGTTGATCCGGAGCTTGTACCATTCCAGAAATCATGTTTTCTGAAACTGAAGGCTGAGAAGGCATTATTGGAGGAGAAATTACAATGCAAAGATGTTACTGCAGTAGCATTGGTTGAGAGACTGAATTGAAGGAAGAAAAACTATTGTATCTTAAATCCAAAGTAAATGACTTGGAGGAGCAACTACAAGTCTTGTCCAAGAGAAATATCTTCAGATATCCTATTGTGTGTGTGTCAGTTGTGTTATTTGTTGTTTTGCTTTTGTTCTTTGGTAAAGAGGAAAATGTTTGACAATGAACTAATTCTGATGTTATTTGTTGTTTTTGTGACTTTATCTCGGTTATGTATTTAATATGAACCAATTCTGATGCTACCTTTTGTTAAGGAAATTTCAGTGTATGTTGTTAAGTAAATTTTAGTATATGCTGCCTTTTTGTAACTTCATTTCGGTTGTTAAGGAAATTTTATATTGAATCAGGTTATGTTTTTGTGTAAGTTCATTTCAGTGTATGTGGTACATTCAATAATCATCACATAAATATGTGCACAAGCATCTTAAATACCAAACAACCTCAGAAAAACACCAAATGAAGCCATGTTTAAAAACAAAAGTCTAGCTGCCACCTTATAAAATTCAAGGTCAAATCCAATCCTAATTCCACAACCAAAAACATCAAATCCAATCCAAATTTAGACAATACATTTTTTACAACTGCATCTCCAATCCAACATCGAAAAACATGAAAAAACACAGTAGTTCAGAACATACATCCCAAAAACCTAACAACAGTACGCAGCCATGACAACTAACAAGGGCTAAAATTGCACACACTCTCTTGGGTCCCCTGATCTCTTGGGCAATTCTTGGATGTTTGTTTATTTTGTCCATGTGATCACCCGACTCTTCTTTAGGTACAAAGTGAGCTCTACTTTGCCCTGGAATATGATTAAGCAGTTGTGGAAAAAAAACAAATTATGTTAATTTGTGGAAATATGCACTGCAATTGGTACATGAAAAATATATGGTAACAATGAAGCATACCCTCATGTAAATGTCTCCTGTCTGCTCAGAGACCAGCACACCATATCCTTTATTGGCCTAAACAATGAAAACACCAATAAGTTACTAAATGGACATTATTCTTTTTGTAAGAAAATAAAGTTAGCTTTTACCATTGCTCTGTCTTTTGCCCTAATAGCTTGCACAGGTTGAGATGATTGTCCAACACTCCTGGTTTTAGAACTCCTTCTTGTTTGTTGCATAGCAGCTATGGCTGATCTTGTAGTTGGGGCTGTTCTAGTGGCTGAAGCTGCTCTTCTGACTCTGGTTGCTCTTGTGCTTGTGGTTGCTCTTGTGGATGGGGCTTTTGTTGGTGGTGCTGTTGGGTCTTGTGTTGGTGGTGCTGTTGGGGCTTGTGTTTGTGGTGCTTTTGTTGGTGCTCTTAGGGCTTCTATTGGGGCTGGTATTGGGACTGGTGGTGGGTTTGTTGATGTTGGGTTTGTTGGTGTTGGGATTGTTGGTGTTGGGTTTGCTGCTGAAGAAGTGTATGGGGGTGGGTTTGTTGGTCTGACAGAACAATCTCTTGCAGATGACTCCACATTTTGCTCCCTTGTCCTTGGTCTCCCCCTCTTTTTCTACAGTTTAACAACAAGTAAAAGAATATAATGCATCATAAAAGTTTATAAATAAGCAAAAACAATAAAACTTACTCTTTTCTGTGCAGGACCAGCTTCATTGGGGCAAGTCATGATGTTATGCCCAAGTTTCTTGCATTTTTGACAAGTCATTTGTAGTCCAAATCTCCTCAGCTTAGTGTCACTCTTGGCCTATTCTTCAGGAGCTTTTCTCCTTCTTATATTAGGTCTACTAGGCATCTTTTTAAATGGAGGTCGCTTCACAACGGACCCAGATGCTTCAGACCAAATTTTAGGACCATTTAATGGTTCAAGACTAAAGGAGTATGCTTTCAATTTTCTTTCTACACTGAAGTATGGGCTGAGAAAGTCCACTACATCCTTCTTCATGTAATGAATTCCAAAACAAGTATGGATACATGGTATACCAGATATATCCCAGCTTCTACAACTACATGTCATGCACTTCAAATCAACCACTGTTTGTCCCGTTTTTGTTGCTATTTTCGTTGGTATTTTGCGTGTTTTTTCCCCGTTTTAGGTCTTTCTTAGGATTTTTCCAGTCCATCTTCTCGTTTCGTGCGCTTTTATCTTTATTTTAGTGTTCAGTATTTTCTGTGTTTTTTTTTTCCTATTTTCTTTGTTTTTCGTGTTTTTCCGGTGGTGCGATTTCATGTTTTAGGTTGATCGGATTGGTGAGCATTCAGACGAGAGGAGAAGTGTGTTGTTCGAGCATCGTTTTGTTGACCCAAACATGAGAGGATCGAGTTTCCAGCTCCGGCAGTACCCGAGCGACGCTAGACGAGCACGCAAGCCGAAGAAAAAGCCACATTTGTGTACTTCCAAGCCTTAGCGCCGCTAAGGCCGTAGTGGATAGCACCGTTTTGAAGCTTAGCGGGGCCAGAGGGGAGCAGCTAAGGAGGCTTAGCGGCGCTAAGGTGCCTTAGCGCCGCTAAGGTCTGTTTTGTAACAGCCGCGTTTTTCTCGTGATTTTGAATTGGGGATGAATAGGGTCGAGCTTAGGGCATATTGGCATCATTCCAGACATCGTTTTTCAGAATTTATCATTTCTAGAACACATCTTTCACTTGCTTTTAGCTTGGATTGGAATTTGAAGAGTGAAAACTCCCTTTCAAGCTTTTGGATTTGGATTTCTCGTTGCTTTCTCGACATTGGATTTATATTAATCGTAAGCACTTGTTCTCCAAAAAAAAAAAAAAAAATACAAGCTGATCATCTGATATGACAACTTGAAATTTTTCACCCACTGCAGGTTTTGTCACACACAACCTACTGCTCAACTTATTTTCCTCAATTTTTTTCCTTATCCTAGGACATATTGTGGCTTTTAGTCCACTGGTCAACATTAGTTTGTGATGCTGCCTTTCCATTACATAAGTTTTAATACTCTCAAGCATTTCAACAATTGGTTTTTTCCTTGCCTTCACTATGGTACTGTTGAAAGTTTCACATACATTATTAAGTATCATATCACATTTTGGATTCTCAAGGATAAAGGCTTTACAGAACCTAAAATTTTCCATGTCCATGAAATCCTCATAAGCCTCCTTAGCCACTGCCTTTATCCCTTCAAGTGCTTCCTTATATGCTGCCTTGTGTGTGCTATGCACTACCCTTCAGAAACAGCTCTTCGGTGCACTGCCTTTGTGAGATTTCTTCCAATTCATGTACACATGTCGTGCAAAATTTCTATGTTCTGCATGTGGTGAGAGGTCCCTTATAGCAGCAATGAGTCCCTACATAATAACATAAGTCAGAACACATATTAAAGAGAATCCAAACAACCAAATATATTAGTACACATAATGAGTTAAGGAAGAACACATATTGAAAAAACTAACCTTTTGCTGATCCTGATAAATGTCCATCCAAGTCCATCTGATATCCATAAATCTTGAAAAAGTATATATAGAAACCATTTCCAATTGCTCTCATTCTCAAAATCCACAACTGCCCATGCCAAGGGAAATATCTGGTTGTTCCCGTCCTTGCCAACAGCACACAATGAAACACCTCCTAAAAAGGTCTTCAAGAAACACCCATCAAAGCCAATAATTGGCCTACAGCCTTGCAAGAAACCTTGTCTGAGTGCACTAAAACCAACATAAAAACATTTGAATACACTGCCACTCTCCAAGACAAGCTTAAATGTGCCATTTTTATCAACCCTTTGAAGCTCTGCAATGTACCTCCTAAGTTTTCCATAGTGCTCCACCTCTATACCTCTAAGCAGTTTAAGTGCCTTAGTCTTTGCTTTGTACAATTTCCACCTAGAGGGTTGGACACCATATTTTTCACTGATAGAATCCTCTATGTCAGAAATTTTCATCTTAGGCTTCTTTCTAATCATAGGTAGATACTCCCTAGCAACCCATGAAGCAGTTGCTTGTTTAGTGTTCAAGTCCCTATGGCAGCTGTGGCTACTAACAAAGGTCTTCACAGCCACACTACCTTCACCTTTTATCAGACTAGCATAAAGCCTCCATGGACAACCCACTTCACACCTAGCTTCAACCTGAGTTGAACTACTTCTGATAAAACTTATGTTGCACCCATTATAAATTGCATAACTCTGAATTGCCTTCCTACATTGCCCAACGGATTCAAATCTCATCCCAAGCTAAAATTGAAAGGTCTACAGATCTCCCTTACCATCAAAAACTATTTTTTCTTCTTAGGCCTTGCTTCATCACTATCATCACCAAGGCCCTCACACTAGATGAATCAGTGTTGACATTCCCTTCAGAATCTTCATATTCTGACTCAATATCTCTTGCAGGTATATAGTTGTCATCAGCCTCATGATGTGAAGATGGTTGTGCAGAGGAAATGTTTGCATTTCCATCATCTAGTGACTGTCTGGAGTTCAAAACTTCTCTCCTAGCCAGAAGATACTTCTCATTATCTGTCCCTAAATCTTCATTAGACAAACCATCATTACTTGAAGATTCACCAGATGGTTTATAGTCATCATCCTCACTTTCATCTAAAGCAAACTCACCCTTCTTTTCACTAGTATCCTTTGCTTGGTCTACCTCAGCAACTTCAGATACCATATTTCTAGATTCCTTTTCTTGTTGACTAACAGCAACCCCAGACGGTTTGTTCAAATGTTCAGTTTGCACAAATATTTCAACATATCTTCTGTTTGTCTGCATTTGATCCAAACAGGCCATAAGACCAGCATAATCGTTTATGTCCATAAATTCACATGTTCTCTTATGCTTATAACATATTCTACCCCAGTTTTCATATCCCAACTTCCTTATTTGTTCTTCAATGTCAAAATAACCTAGCCTATCTGCATCCAATCCAGTAACTGTGGCAACACAATCACCATAATACGCCTCATACCCTTCAACAACCACAAATCTACCCTTGTGATGATGAATAACATAAAGAAATTTCTGTAAATTGGAAAAATCGGAAAAGATAACAAATTGAACCCAAAAAAAAACTAATATCAAATTAAATATTTCAATTGAGAAATGATAGTTACCTTGCGACCATGATGTGAGTAAGTTCTTGTGTATGCCCACGATAATCTTCATGAACATATGGAAGACCCACCCCTCTGAATTTCGAAGAAAATCGAAAACTAGGGTTTTCAATATGTAAAATCACAAAAAAGGGAATTAGGAAATGACGAATTTAATGAATTTGGGGAAGAATCGGCTTTTATACTTCATGAAACTGCCACTTGGACGCTGGCTGGGACGACCGTTTGGAGTGTCCATCATTTTTAATGGCCAAACACGTAAAGGTCGTGTTATATCTCGCCATTTTGCCTATTTTATATATTATTTATAGTATATACATATATAATATAATATATATATAAATATGAATAATTATTATATAGCAAGATAGTATATAGTATATAGCATATAGTATATACTAAGATAGTATCTACTATATAGTAAAATAGTATATAGTATATAGTAAGATAGTATATAGTATATAGTAAATACTATAATTTTATATATTATTTATAGTACATACATATATAATTTAATATATAAATATGAATATGTATTATATAATAAGATAGTTTATAGTATATAATATATAGTAAGATAGTATATAGTATATAGTAAGATAATAGGATAATATCTAGTATATAGTAAGATAGTATATAGTATAATTTTATATATTATTTACAGTATATACATATATAATATAATATATAAATATGAATATATATTAAAGTATATTTACTATTGAGTATAAAGAATATAGTATATAGTATATAGTATAAACTCTATAGTAGACGAATGAACACGAACATGTTCGGAAATTAGTTGAACTCGAGCTCGAACACCTTAAGCTCGAAAATTAGTATATAATTTTATGTAGTATATAGTATATAGTTTGTAGTATATATGTAGTGCCCATTTGTTTTAGACTAGTTAGCGTATTACTATATTATTTAATTATTCGCCTCACTTTTATTTTAGTCGTAGTGCATGACAATTTTCCCTGTTATACTTATTAGAATTAAATAGATGTCCTCGTTTATTTGATGTTCCTAATCAGTTCACCTAATCGGAAATTCAGATTTAAGAAGATGTCCTCGTCTCTTAAATTCTTTGGTGTGCTCTCGTTTTACTAAATCGTTCTAAGTGTTTTAAATTGTTTTGTAATTTACCCATGTGTACAAATTGTTCAATTTGTTGTTCTTAATTGATTAGTTTGATTTTGTACTTAGTGTTTTATTTTGATAAGTGTCCAAGTTATGCCTAAGAGCATAAATTAGTTTTTGTTAGCCCATTTAATGACTTCGGCCCAAACAATTTTTCTCCCATGAGCTTTATCAAGCCCAAAATCGTCCATATTTTCAGTTATTTTCGGCCCAGGTATAGCCCAATCAAAGACCAACCCATATTCTTCATCCTTGTAGCAGCAGCAAGCCCATTTTTCTCCAAAGACTCGGCCCATCTTCATCTTCAACACAGCACGACCCCAACTCCATCTTCTAATTGGCTTGCAGCAGCTGAAAAGCCCCAAGCCAACGACCTCCCATGAATCTCTCTTCACGGCAAGGACGAGCCACCAGCGGCGAGGACGAACCATTCACGACGATACGAGCTCTATTCGCGACTGAGCGAGTTCTGAGCATGGTTGAGTTGCAGCGACCAAATCGGGGCTAAAGCACCGCTTTTCGATTGACCGGGCCAGCGAGTTTCCGCATGGAGCAAGAGAGCAGCCGGTCGAAGAGCCGAGAGCAGAAATCCCAGTTGAACCAAACCACCGTCGTCCAAAATGAAACGCGACCTGCCTTGGGCAACTGTTGTTCAACCGCCGACGTTCGAGCCGTTTTGGCCAGCAACCGCGAGCCGAGGCTAGTCCTTGTTGACAATTCAGCTGCCACAAACTGTGGTACTGCATCGTGCCGAGAAGAACCGCCCAAGGTCTACCGCGCACCCACCAGGCAGCAGCGGCAGAGACGAGCCGACCCCATTGAGCCCGAGTACCGACGAGCCCGTCCGTGGTCTGTACGTGAGTGGCTGAGGTCTACTTTATATTTCGTAATTTCCAGATGAGAGGTGAATTTCGTAATCCCCTCTTATTAATTCGTGAGTTTAAATCCTGGTTATGTGAAGTTCGGATCTTTATAAGTTGAGGTTAACTGATTGTGTGATTAATTGTTGAATTTCTGCATCCTTTCCTTGATTGTTGCGTAATTGCATAATTACTTGCCGTAATGGCCGAGTTATTGTGTTCAAAAGGTTCAGTGAAGATGAATGTATGGTACATGCTTAGAAGTCTGCTATGTCTTAAGAAATTTTTTGAGTGTTAGTAGTGTGCATTGGCCATGTTAGTTTTGAGTTATGTTTAGGTGGTTTTGAGCTCCAATTTTATTGCCTATTTGACCGAGTTGTTAAGTGTTAATTATTCCTAGATGTTGTGAGTAATATTGCTGAAAATCAAGTGTATATAGAGCATTTTATCTCAGTTTTTATGGCTCTAGCTTGGGGTAAATATTTGAGGAAGAAATTATCAAATGGAGGCATTGCCACAAGGTGTTTCAATCTCATTGTGTTTTTAATTATTATTGAGGTTATCATATGTGTTAAAAACTGTGGTTATGTGCATTTCAGAGACCTTAAATTTCAGCTCAAAGACCCTTGGAGTGGTACTTAAATGTTGAGAAAAGAATGATGAGAAGAGAAGGATATATCATGTGTTTGTATACTTTATTTGTCTGCCTTTGTACTGAGCTTTGTAGTGTTATCAAGCATGCTGAGTATATTTGTTTTTCCAAGATCTTATGCTTAGCTTAAAAGGTTAAATGAATTGTTGTTGAGATTGAGAAATAGAAAGAGGATAATAGGCTAGTATGTTGTTTTAGCCGTGTGCTTTATTTGGTTAATTGTTGTTCTTGATTATGTGTTATGCTTGTTGTTGTTGCATGGCCGAATCAACCCAATCAAAACCCTTAATAATAATTAAATCCTTACTTTTTAGGTATGAGGAGTCGAGCCCTCGACCTACATTCTTCAGCTTGGGAATCTGCTACTTCGATATCTAGGTGGGTTTTATTTAAAATGCTATGCTGTATTTTTTTTTTGTTGTTGTACGGTATGATCAATGTATGCATGTGAACCATGTAGCCTTCGATGTGAGCAATACCGGCCGTTGAACGGTTATCCCCTTGATAAAATTTCCCCCTAAGACCCATGGTGGGCCATATCGATGTAAGTCACATGGCAATGCCTTCAATATGCTTGTCGATGTAAGCGATGCCTTCGAAATGAATGTCGATGTAAGACACATGGCGATCCCTTCGACATGTACTCCTATTGTTGGATGACGATGTAAGATACATGGCGATGCCTTCGAAAAGACCAACAATAGCTAATGATAGGTGTGTACACATGAGTCTTGATTATTGATATTATTGATGGGAGAATGAGATAGATGATTGTTTCGTATACATGGTGCGACAGTACCTGATTGATATATAATTACTGTTATATTATTGTGAAAAATGTTTACTGCATAGTGGTGATCACTACGGTTTCTATTTGAGCTCACCCCCACCTGCTCTTCATGGAAGCAGGTTAGTAAGTGCGGGCACGACGGAGGGATGCGAGTGGTGGTCGGTCATTGATGTCCAACTTATTATTTGATATTGTTTCCGCTTATTGAACTGATAATTGTTATTATTGTATTTATGATTATTGAGGATTGGAATTTAGAATATTGAGTATTGATGATTTATGATTCGTGATTGAATATTGAGTATCGATGATTGATGATTGAGGATTGAGATAATTGTTTAATATTGGTGTATGCTTTTGAAAATGAGTAACACCACAAGTGATTTTGAAATAAATTTGAAAAAAATTTGTTACTGATTTTTGTCAATAAAAGTGGGGCATTACAGTTTGGTATCAGAGCCAGGCTGCGTTTCTGTAGACTGGTGAACGTGAATTATGTGAACTCTAGGAATTTCTTGATTATACGATGTACTTATGACCACTCGCTTCCGTCATGCCGCGCCAACTCAGGTATGAATACATGAGTAATACTGAATTGCCTTTGTGAAATATTTGATATTATGAGATGTAAATTGAGGCTTAGGAATTTATCCTCCTGCTTTTAAACATTCTTGAAGTCTAGAGGAGTTGCAAACTCTAGTTGTATGAACTTAAACTCTAGTGGTATATAGTTAAGTCTTGCTTTAGAAGTTATCGGTTGAGAATTTCGATATAATGGTTGAAATTCCTATGTTTTAATTCGTTCATTTTTGAATGATTGGATTTGAAAATCCGTTGGTTAGTCGGGTATATATTGGTTTGTATGCTTGTTCTATCGTCGGTTGTTTTCTTGAATTCGTCGTGGATATCCGGGACTTTCGATTTCAAAAACCGAGCCTCGAGTCGCTGTGGTTAAATCATGTTAGTCGGAGCCTTGTTTTGTTATCCGAACACTTATCTCCTGTTGATTGGGATTCGTTTAAGCGTGGAGCTTGAAACCTTATCCGTGACCCTTGTATCGGTAGTTGTTAGTCGATGTTTTTGACCTTTGAAACACGATCAATGTTTTTGAACTCT